CGTGTGTCGGATCGTACGGTTTCCCAGTCTGGGTGCGTGATGCTTCCTTGTGCCCTTATCCTACTCACAGACCAGTGACTTAGCTGAGATTAAGTGAGGGAGCTTGGGCATCTCTGAGTTAGATCACAGGCTTATTTTAGTCAGGGTTGGACTCTGCACTGCTTTAGGTTAATGGGAAGAAATTTACACCCTCAGCCTCCAAAGGGAGGATAGTGAAAATATGATCTGTGGGCCCTGCACTTGTGCGGTCTCAGGGAGCTGACAGCTTCCAGGCATTGAGATATGACATTCTGTCACATTTATTATGGCCTCACGTTCCTAATGAAAAGAGGAAAGAAGTCATGACATCTGCTTACATCACTCACTGCGTGCAGAAACGTAGCACAACGTCAGAATGGGAGGGAGTCACGATCAGGGTTAAAGGTGTCAGGTTAATGGTTAAAAGTGTGACTGTAGCCACACATAAAGGTCAGGGGTCAGGTTAGGGTTAGGCACTAACGTACATCGTGCACAGCCAGTTAGCGGATAGATTATAGGTTAGGGGTCAAGGAGAAGGGATCATGGCCAGATTTCAATGTTAGGGATCAGTGATGGTTTTATGGAAGGGGTCATGAACAAGGTTAGAGATTAGGGGTCAAATTAGGGATCTGGAGACAGGTCATGGCCAGGGTTAAAGGTCAGGGGGTCAGTTAAGGGCTTAGGGAAGGGATCATATTATGGTTTGGGGAAGCGGTCATGGCCAGGGTTAAAGATTAGAAGTCAGGGTAGGGTTAGGCATGAATGTAAATGACAGACATCAGGGGAACTCATTGATTGCATATGTCTAAAAGTGATAGCCATGAGTGAGTGTGTGCTCTCTTGTTTAGATTATGAGGAAAACAGTGAGTTCAAGAGTGTGTCTCTGGCAAATAACCCAGGGTATGTTGTCACATCTTAGTGGACACTGGAATCACAGCTTAGTGAAATTAACCTCCCCCCTTACTTTACATGTTACAAGGGCTTTTTCCACATTCCTCAAACCGTATGATCATTACCAGCCTCTCCTCAAAGTGGAACTCATGTCACACTTCAGGATGTCTCCACAAGAGGGGGGTATTGAACACACCTAAGGCAGTGCCTCCTATTTTGTCCTCTGTGTTTAGTGAGGTCATGTCCAATTGGCCTTTAAAACTAGAGAGGAGAATGTAATATAAGGTTTCTTAGGTTAAAGTTTATTTAGAGTTTCTTTAGGCTAAGAGCAGGGAAGTCTAAACTGTGGGGTGGGAAATGGGGAGCAATATACATGTAAGAAATACATATTTTACCCTTTCCATAGATAATTACACAATTCAAACCAAAAAACCTACTTTTACATTTTATATTTTTATATCATATTTGAACATAGACTTGGCATAAGTTTTAGAGGGGGCAGGCCCCTGATAATGCATTCACTCTTGATCAGGGTCACAGGCATGAAAAGATCTGGAAATTTTGTCCTAGAGGGTTATTGACTGTAATTCAAAGGTCACTGTGAGACCTGAGGTCATCCACAAATATCTATTTGTATCTAATGGCAGCTAAGGAGATCTGAAAAAGAGGTAATGTGAGTAAGGACAGATTTTTCTCAGTGCTGTTTATTAATATTGGCACTTTCTAATCAGGGTGATGCCGCTCAATATCTTCAAGTGCAAGTGTTTGGGGTGCTGCAGGTCATTTCTGAAGTGCACCCGTGTTGTATAACCCCTTTATTTGTTTCAGATGTGTCACCTTCAGCAGTACACAGCTGCAGGTAAGACTTTGGACTGCTACCTAGTGGCAGCACAAACACATTCAGTGCATAACTCTGAAATTATGCACCCACATTCTCAGTTGCCAGTCAAGTTACATTGTAATACTGAAGCAATACCATCTTTTACCCCATGTGGACTGTTACCGTTCACCTTCAGAGGGATGCAAATAAAGAAAAATCCAAAGATTTTAAAGATCTATGGAACTTTAATGTTACGATCTCAATCCACGCGAAGGAACAGACACATTGCACAGAGTTACATCAGACATGCTATGCTAAGATACCCCAGTCTCAAAGATGCTGCCGCGCTCTGGGGTTTCCCTGTCCCTCTCTTCAGCTTCCAGGGAGTTGGATGCCACACATCTGGCAGCATTGTAAGTCAGGAGTTTGCTCCATAGGGACTCCACAGGACTCCTCACTGTCATTATTCTCAGTTTTACAGAATGTGCAACAAATGGGGGCTGCTTTTGAGTGGAAGCTTTTGAGTCAAACAAAAAAATCATTTTTTTGTGATTCATATATTTACAGCATAGTAATAAAACCAGAATGTGTTTAAACCATCCATGAGGGACTGTTTTTTTTTTCAGACCAATATAGAGCTGGAGGATGAAATTTAGGTTGCTTTTTTTGCATTTCCTATGTTGCTGCAGATCCAATTCATGCCATCCTGTAAAAAAAACAAAAAAACAAAAAAAAAACAGATGAACACCATATTCATTTTAAAAGTCTTATACAGTACAAACCTATGCCCTTTGAAATGCATAGACTCAAGAGGGACTCTAATCAAACATATCACTGATTTTACTTGTTAATAGACAACATAAAGAATAACACTGCCTCACACCATCGAGGCTAAGCTCATTGGTTTGCAGTTTGCAGAGGGAGGAGCCTCTGTAAGTCCTCATATGATTGTTAAACATAAGAATGTCTGTATCCAGGCATAAATACCAGTCTTTATGAAGCTTTAAATATAGGATTTAAAAACAGGATTTAGGATTGAATTCCAAAGCTGATTTAAAAATGTCATCTGTAAGCAAACAGACGTACCAGTTCAGTAAATATTGAAATTAAATAAGGAAGCCTTGCAGCTTGGGGCATTTTGTGCTTTTTGAAAAATTAAACTGGGATCGTCTTTTGTGGCATTTGACTGGTACTACTTGGTGGTAACCTCAGTAACTGCACAGCAGTATTGGAATCTAATACTAGGTGGCACTGTGGTATATTAATTAAGGAAGAGGGTGTGTCACCATGATGTCACCAAGATATGTGTCATCATTTGCCCATGATTTCCACTGATTGTTTGACCAGAATAGACTTACAGATTTACTCTTCATTGTCCAAGCCAGAGAATGCTGACAATGGAAAGCTTTTTAATCTCTGCACAAGCTGCACAATTCAAATGCCTGTGCAAATGCAATGATTCTCCAAGTTATTGGATTTAAAATATCTGAAATTCTTCCAGAAAGTTTTTGTAATGTGCATTTGCCAGACAATTTACCTTTTTAGTCAATGTTTTTGCAGTCTTGTATTTTACTCAATGGATGCGAAGGAAAAAATGAGGCACAGTTAAGAGAGAATAACCTGCCAAAGGATATAGATTATGCAGCTAATTGGCACACTTGTCAATAAAGCAAAACAAATGAGCATGGGCTAAGAGCACTGATTGGTTTCAAGGTAAAATTCCTTAAATGTAAAATTTCAAAATCTCAAGCCGCCGCTTCCTCTTGCTGACTTCGCCTCCTCAATCTCTCCATCTCTTCCCTTGTTCTGTGTTTTCATATTTGATCTAAACAGATTGTCTTCATGGCCTAATGTGTCCCACCATTTTTGCGTCATGGTCTTATTGAGTAGTGGGCATTAAGCAGGAAGACCAAGAGGCTGTAAAAAAGACATTGACAGTCCCTTGGTCAACCTGACCACTTGTTTTACCTGGACTATCTATGTCAGATCCTGGTCATATAAGCACTGAAGTGGTGTTATTGTGAACAAGCTGGAGAGCACCAGTGGCAGATCCTTTGCTGAAGTTCATGCCACATTCTTCATCAGTTCTGTAGTTTTTATCCATTCCACATCAATTTCAAGAACATTCAGTTTCATTTATTCTCAAATAATTTTCCCAGCACATTTCTCATGATGATGGAAGTGTAATATTTTACACTTGTCCCACTCATTGGGTCATCAAAGAGGGCTGCCATTTTACCTGGCCAAACATATAACTTCCATCTTTAATGGCTGGGTTAGACTGTCCTCACCATCAATTACATGGGATGCTACATCATTGACAAAATCAGCAGTACGTGTCACATAAATCATTTGATTGACGTGCAGAAGCAGAAGAGTAACTCAATAATAATTTGGAGGGACAGTTAGGAAAGCTCTCCTCAGATTTCTGAGGGCTTCACTGCATGTATAATAATGGATGGGCCATAGCACAGTGGAGTCACAAGTCAAAGTTAGGGTGATGTCTGATCCATTCCACTCACATCAGAGCCCCTGATGCTCAACCTCACTGCCAGACCCCCATTCAGCTGACCTCTCCTCTCATAAAACACACCTCAGCGCCCTGCTTTCCACTGCTAGCATCAGTGGTACCACGGCTGGGGAACTGGTTTTGCAGTCAGCATCATTAGTAATAGCATCACTATTTCATTATTTAAATGCCTCACAGACACCACTTTCCAGGACGACTTATATTATTGAAATAACATGCCATTCAGAATTTGACGAGGATGATGTCTGACCCATCATACTCATATTATAGTCCCCGATAGGGAGGAGAGGAGAACTGGTGCAGGACACTGAGTTTGCACCTCCTAACTGACAGCCTCTCGTCTCATACAACACACTATCCCAGTACCCTGCCTTCCAGCTGTAGTGTCAGTGGTATCATGAATAGGGAATTTATTCTGTAGCCAGACAATAGCAGGTTTAACACTTCTGTACCCTGGAGCTAGGAACCCTAAGCTCAAATGACTGAAGCAATCCAGGTTAAGTGCCTTTCCCAAAGGTACAACAGCAACGGCCCACCTGGGAATCACACTAACAACCTTTGTGCTGCAGGTTGACCTGCTGAACCACTGCACAACACAGCCGTGCATTACATACATGCAACATTATTGTCATTTAGCAGACAGTCTTATTCAGAGCGACTTACAATGTTACCCATTTATACAGCTGGATATTTACTGAGGCAACTGTGGGTTAAGTACCTTGCCCAAGGGTATAACAGCAGTGACCCAGTATGGAATTGAACCAGCAGCCTTGCGGTTATGAGCCGTGCTCCTTACCATTACGCCACACTGCCGCCACCACCATGATGTCCCACATCGTCAGCTTAATGCTGCGTTCCATTTACCTCGGAAGTCGGAAGTCGGAGCTGGGAATGACGTCACACCCGAGTTGACCACGTTCCATTTGTCCTGGGAAGTTGGAATTTCCGAGCTCCCAGTCAGAAATTTCAACTGGAACACCGCCTGAAGTCAGATTTCCGAGTCGGAAGAACCTCACCAACCCCAGTTCCAACTCGGAAATTCCGACTTCCCAGTTCAAATGGACCGCGGTCGACTCGGGTGTGACGTCATTCCCAGCTCTGACTTCCGACTTCCGAGCTAAATGGAACGCAGCATAATACAAGGATAACATGTAAAAATGTAAGTCATAGCTACCGGAAAGTACCATCATTACAGCTTATTACTATAATTAACAATAACTGCAGTAGATATTCTCCCCCCTTGATGGCGCCCCCACCTGCACGCCCTCCCCCGACAGTGCAGAGCAGGCCTGGATCTGCCACAGGCGGTCCCGGTACGTGTGCAGGTTGAGTCCCTCGGCGATCTCGCTGGCGGGCGAGGCCGTGGCCAGGTCCTGCTTGTTGGCGAAGATGAGCACAGGTACACCCTTCATGTTCTCCTCATCGATGAGCTCAGAGAGCTCCTGGGGGAAAAAAAGGAAAAAAATAGGATAATGGTGGCCTAAGGTCCAGGAGAGTGGCTAAAGTTGCTGTGGAAATACAGTCTGAAGGAGGCATCACTGTATTTATGTACAATGAGAATGATTTCCCTCCATGTTCCTCACACTTTCATATGTTTTGTGAAGGGAAAAGTAGAGGAAAAAGGTGGCTGAATACTCCTCAGCTGATTAGGAGTGAGCTATTTCTGCAAAGTGTTGTCATTTTCATGTCATACTTCAAAATGAAGGAGATATTGATTGTGTCTGTGTTGTATTGATTGTGTCTGAATATGGACAACATTTTTACTGATTTCAAGGGTGTCGAAGTGAGTCGACATGACAAATGTCAAGACAAAAATAGATTTGGAATGAAATTCAAGTGTTATTGACAAACACATCCTTACCATCCCCGTCTCCTCAAACCGTTTTTTGTCTGCACTGTCTATCACGTAGATCTGAAAAGCAAAGCGTTTGACTTCAGTTTTCATAAAGGATATCAATCATACATTTTCCTGAATTTCATGAATGTGCTTACTGTTTTCACTGATTTGAACACAAGTGACAGAACTCACCAACAGATCTGTGTTCTCTAAGTACTTCTTCCAGAATGAGCGGATCTTTCTCTGTCCCCCAATGTCCCACACGTTCAATTTCATGCCGTTTGAGGCCACACTTTTAATGTTGAAGCCCTGAAAAACCGAGTGGTAAAAAATATAATCATAAAAATAAATCACAGGTGGTTCGTTCTTATTCAACAGGTATAATCTGCCCCGTCTCCTCATTTCGTAATCAGCAGGGTCATTAAACAGTCAGGAACCTTAGCATGTCCAGAGAACGGTTTCTCATTTTAAATCCTCCTCTATTTTTAGTTGGCTTGCAAGCGGCCTCCCACTTCTCTGACCTTAATGTTGAAGTAATCTTCAACCAGGGGATTAGAGTCCCCCAACCCCCTTGATAGCTAGAGTAGACCCCTCACACCAAAGAACTAAGTGTTATCCAGGTTCTGTATTACATGGACTGTCCACACTGTCTTATACTCAAACACTCCTGGTATGATTTAATGTAATGCTGCTTTTATAGATCATTGTTGAGCCCTGCGCTCACTTCAGCATGAGGTGAGGTGATACTGCTCATTTAAGGATGAGCTGACAGGCACCAGGTTTTCACTGTTATAGGCCTTCATTTTGATGCTGTTTTCAGCACTATTCTTTTTAATACTTACTTAGAGTAAATCTGTCTGTTCTGCAATGGATTAATGTTATTGACACTGTTGTGATGTGTGTTTAAGGTAGTGTGCCATGTTAGCTTAATAAGTCACTATGTGTAAAGTTTAAAGTTTAAGAGTTTAAAAAGTTAAATACACACATTTAAAAAGAGATTGAGGAATATTATATGGCCAACTTCAATGACAAAGCCAGTACATGGATACACTGTACATTGTCTGCAACATGCTGAGACATTGCATTTCCATCATGTGTGGAGTCGCTGCGTGGCATAGACACACAGCAATGCATTTCCCAGGCGTGAGATAAGAAAGGTCCCACCAGCAAGGTACAGTAAGTAAGATATGTTTTATGAGTGAAACAAGGAACACCAGAACAATAAGAACAGTTCTGTCCCAGCCTTTTTGATGACTATTTGCAATTTATTCTTACATCAGTGTTCATTACAAGCAGAGTGTGCTGTATATTCAGAGTGCCTGGGTGTGCTGTTCTGATAACCTGTGTGGATCTGGATTCTAATCACTGGCCCGGCCTGGCACTGAATGGGCTGTGCCCGACCTGGTCTCACCCTGGAGTTTACTCTGTTCCCTGTTCACTTTCCTTGAGAGTGACAAATCCTCTGCATCTACATTTAGTGTTCATTAGTCTAGTTCTGCTTGTAGTGATCATACAGTGGCAAAAACTGCCAATGCTAACCTCAGAGGTCACTGCAGGATAGCTTAGCATAAAGAGAGTGCCTATATTAGACCATCCAGAGGGAGGATACTACAGTACAGTGCGGGTACATTAGTATCACATAATGACTGAATGCTATATAGATGTCTGAGATGACCAGAAATGTGCTTAATATGGTCACATCATCACAAGCTCCAATAAAAACAAATATTTTTAATATATATAATATTTATTATTCATTCATTATGTTGATCATAGTGTGAAATTGTACTGAATTTGTAGACTTACTGTTAAAAACAGGTTGATATAACACTTGATATCAGTAAGTCCTGGGTGTATTTTGATTGTAAGACACCACTGAAGATGAGAAACTTGTTTTGCAACCAAATATCCAATCAGAGATGTGTGCTCCATAACAAAAACCTCTTGCAATGTAGCTGTAAACCCACTTTATCTCCTTGCTGATCAAAGTGTGTTTATCATGTGATGCAACACACTCCAGGAAGCTTTCAATCTAATCACTGTGCCACTCAGCCAAAATATTTGAGTAATGATTTTGTTTATGCATTTTCATTTCAGTTGGAAATGCTAGTTCATCTTCATCATCCCCAGCTATTAAAGGAATATGCAGAGCACAGGGCCATGGGGATTGAGTGCCGTTTGTTTGTGTCGAATGATTTGGTGGGTGGGTGGGGTTCTGACTGAGGATAGGCTGTAAATCCACAGAATGACTCCAGAATCCCCTGTGAGCAAAAATGACAACACTGACCAGCAAGAAGATTGGTCTTTTCCCAGTCCTGCACATACCTTGGAACACCTCACAGTAGTAAACTTGGATGTTTGTTTAAGCTTTTCTCCTTTTATTGCAACCCTGTTTCTTGTACGAAATCTTGTACGAAATCATATATTGTAGTAGGTTGGTCTCACCAAGAGAACCTCACACGAATGCAATCTTGCAGTATACCTGCATGCAGCCAATGCCTGTTTTTCAAACTCTGTCACACAGAGCACTACAGTGGAGTGGTGCTCATTGGATTATAGATGGACTATGCCAATGTCATCAGTGCAACTCACAGATGTATGGTAAATTGGAGGGTGCCTCAGAGCTGTGAGCCGCTCAGCCCCTGCCAATGTGCCCACCCCTATCCCTGGAGGAATGAAGCCAGTCCATTCTAGCACTGTGGACCCCCGGTAAACATCAAAGAGCTATGCTTCCAAAGCACATTTTAACCAGAGCCACACCTCCCTCCTGACAGTTGATGACATCACTGGAACTAAGGAAGCTGGAGGTGATGGAACTTTCATTTTTATCCGCATGTACGTCTCTGATCTCAGACACAAAGACACAAAACAGGCAGGGGTTTACTTCATCGGAGTGGACAGATGTGCGCTTTGTGTCTGGTCAATGTTTTGCTGTTCTGCAATATCTCTTCCCACTGATAACTTCCCACTTCCTCCTACTGCTGTGTGGTGCAGCACCAGCTCAGAGTTGCCTCAGTTCCAGTGACATCATCACTTATTGGTGTGGCTCTGGGATCAATCATTGTAAGGTAAGGCACTGTTCCATATGTGTTATGAAATTTATAAAATAATTGATTTTTGAATATTGAGCGTCTTTATGTCTGTTAGAGCGCCACCTAACCCACTAGCTACTAGACATAAACAAATCTTTTCAGCTGCCACAGAGGCTTCCTGTACAATCAGAATGGCTCTTCTGCAATGTGCTCTTTGAGCCTTCCACCAGGATCATAATAGGCAGATGAACATCATTGCGTTTTATCAATATCGATTCTCTTATTGGATACCCTTATCAAGGACTATGTATTTTTTGTATTGCATCTGCATTAGTGTCTGCTGTCAGGCTTCAGAGCTCCTGATAACTGGACTGGATATGCGACAGTTCATTTCTCTGTATTGATCTTTATAAATGACTTAAGTCCAAGCTTAACAACTTAGCAGTAGTACTCTAGAGGTATGAATTGGATGGATACACCTATGGTCTCTTATGCTGGAAGTCACCTTGGGTAAGAGTGCCTGCTAAATTCATGTAATGTAATTTAACGTAAATCACTGCTGCAGAAGCTGCACGCTCAGTGAGTCAGTGAATATGTGAATCATTGAAGGCCACCGCGGTCTACAGGCTCTGACTGCTTTGTGGGCCACAGCATTTCCATAAGCGACACAAAGTGGCCTGCTTATGTAAGTTGGTAAAAAGCATTATCCAGCAGGACGCACACTGCTGGCCGTAATCAGGGCTCTGACTAGGCTAGGCTAGGCTGCCTCCTTCTCAGGTGGTTTGGCTGTCCAGCTGCCTTGTTCAGGGCAGCTTTGTGGCACAGCAGTTTTGGAGGGCTTGCAAGTTCAAATCCTTGGTGCGATCCTGCCATTCTGCCCTTGAACAAGGTACTTAGCTTGAATTGCTTTAGCCATTATCCAGCTGTACAAACGGATGGTGTAA